TACTTTTCCTATAAGTAAGCTCTCTGTTTTGAAGTTATTTGTTGTATCAGTTTTGAAGTTTTAGATAAATCAATCTTTATGATATTTCAGGTACCAAACCGGAAGAAACAAAGGCATCACCAAGTGCGGTCTTGATGATCTGCAGGAATTGCGGAAAGAAAGGTGAGCACTGGACAGCGAGATGTCCTGAGGGTAATCATTCCTCCACAGATCAAGGAGAAGCTTCTACGCGGATCGCGAAAGCTGTCACTGAGAAGCCTGCTTCTTATGTTCCACCAAACGTGAGAGGAGGCACAGAGACGAGGAAGAGGAACGACGAGAACTCTGTACGTGTGACTAACTTGTCTGAAGACACGCGTGAACCGGATTTGATGGATTTGTTTGGTTCGTTTGGTGATGTGACTCGAGCCTATGTGGCCATTGACCCGAAGACACGAGTGAGCAGAGGCTTTGGTTTTGTTAAGTTCGCGAGTAGAGAAGACGCGCAGCGAGCAATCAACAAATTGAATGGTTATGGTTATGACAATCTCATCCTTAGGGTCGAATGGGCAACTCCTAGATCCAACTAGATAGATAGATTGAGAGTTCAAACAAACTTTTAATTTGCAATACAATTTTTGTGTTGTATTAGTATTTACTACTTTATTTTTCTTTTTCACAAGTTTGAAACTATCTTACACAGTTGCGAGAGTAATCAAACAATTGTATTCCAATAAAATATTCCCTGAAAGTTATAAAGGTTAAGAGATAAGTAAGTTGCTTGATCTATCTACACCACCAAAAAGAATCAATTTCAACTCTATGGTAGCAATTTGTCACTGGGTTTGCTCTCTCACTTCAGAATGCAACTTCAGACTTACCTGACTAAGATATTATTGAATCAGATATGACATAAGGCACTATAAACTATAAATGGTATTGTAATTTTCCAGTAACTACAAACTATAAATGGGATAAGGAAAACTACAAAGCTTACAATCCTTATACACACATGATAACATATTAAAACAGTCTTCGGATCACTCAAGATCCTCCTTAAGAAAAAGCATGATTAAATATGTGTCTCAAACTTCACGTTTAGGCCGGTTAGGCCGGGTTCGTTGAACCACAGGTTCTTTAATCAAATCGTCCAGTGAGATTTCACGGTCACCATCCTCTCCCTCTTCTGCTTCTTTTATCGCTTGGTTCAACGCAATCTGCACAAGAAAAGAAAAAGCGAAATTTACAAACCTATATTAAATAGATTTCAAATGAGGTCGGATACACGAATCCTATTTCGATAGACCTCAACGAAACTAGATTTCTGCAGGAAAATCAGAACGAGCTCCTTACTCAACTCTATGTGTTAACTATTTTATAAACACTCTACTTAGCAAACACATTAGGCAAAACAGAAACTTTTCGTTGTATGTGATTTTAACACAGAGATTACAATGCAATGCAATAAGATTCATTGCCTAAAAACATAAATGCAACAACTTTAACAAAACTTGAACCAATTCGACCAAAAAAATTCAAAATTGACCTCTACTATATCATCATTGTTTCCCCCAAATCCTATAACTAGTCGATGTAATTCCAAAACTGAGACAAAAACCCTAGACCTAAACCAACTACAACAATAAGGCAAAATCGAATCTGAATTAGAGAGAACTGGCGGAAACGGCGATCTTACATCCTCGAGGAAGTCTTGGTCGAGTTTATCAGCGATTTTTATTGAAGTGAAGACAGTGGCTGCGATAAGAGAAGCAGGAATGGCGAAAGCGAGCAAGTAGCTACTCGTACTTGGTCCTGCTCGAGCCACCACGGAACAGTCTCTGATTCTTCGGATAAGGCTTAATCCTCCGGCTCCACCGCCGTATCCGTCGAGGGAATTGTTCGCCGGAGACGGAATTTGCGGCTGAGAAAATGCCGTTTGTCTGGGTTGCATAGGGATAGAGACGAAGACTCTCGCCATGATTTTTTTCTTTTGTTTTGTTGATTTCAAAACAACAAACGATTGGCAATGGAAGCAAAACAACGATAAGACCCGACCCGACCCGGCCCGAATATTCTAAATCTATCCAATGGACTAGCTTGTTGTACTAAGACCCATTCAGTAAACCAAATAGGCCAATTTTTTTATAATTAAAAAAAAAAATAGTCTTTTTAATATGTGAAATTACAATTAAACCATTCTAATTGCTACTTGAGACGTGGGCAAAAATATCTTCAATATATTAATAGAGAATACACTATATAAAATTTCCAGATGTTATCCAAAAAAGATTTTAAAAAAAATTAATGAAAGCTATTAAAACTTCTTAATGATATGATTGTGTAAATAATTAGACTAAATTTATATCATATATATAATACTAGAATACGATCCGCGTTAATACGCAGGTAAAGACATTAAAAAATATTAATATCAAAATTTAAACTTTAATTAGTAGCCCGTTTGATTACAAAAATATTTAAACATAGATCTCAAACCATTAACGTTTAATTTATATTTTAATACTCATGTCATAATTCATATTATGGAAGCCGAAAAATATATATACACAAATGGAATTCAAATCATATTTTTAATAACAAAAACAAATAATCTTACACATTATGGAT